GTATATGTGGACTTATTAGTTTAGTGCTGTTTGCCATGACATGCTGGTAAAAAAAATTGTTTTTTTTTTTAGGAATTTGGTAAAAAAATATATGTGAATAGTGCATAGTTATATTTAATAACATGTATTTTTATACAAATTGGCCTTTATTACATATTTTCCAAATAAAATGTTAATCACACGCCTTTGAGATGGAATAAGAATAGAAGATTTAATTACAGAATCATATCTAAAGAGAAACCACATTTAATTATTTTTATAACCACTCTCTCTATACATGCGAATCATACCAAAGATATGTGTGAGCATGCAATTTGATAATTTGCATTGGATAACTATCTCATCTTAATAATTATAATTATAATGACTATAAAAACATAATTGGATAATCAATTTTAAACAGATAAGTTAATGAATGAGTTTGGTTATTATATTAAGTATGTATGTTTTATTGATTGATCAAGTAGTAGCAAGATAAATTATCCAAAAGTATCATCTATTTAATAAGCTTAATATTAATTGTTATTTTAATTCTTTACGATTTATCCTTTAATCTTTTAATTAACTATGGTGTATATTTTTTAAAGTTGAATTCTTTACTTTAGATAGACATGTTTAATGTTTAATATTTTAAGTTAAATTCTTTACTTATGTTTGTATGTATAAAAAAAATTTCACCCTTTACTTAATTGCACTCATAGGATATGATAGTGATTAATTGTACAATTGATAACTGTACAAACAATAAATTGTTTACGGGGCATGATGTTTAATTCTTGATTTTAATTCTTTAAATTAAATATACACGATTAATATTTTTATGAGAATTGTATAAAAATAGATATTTTACTTAATTTTATTCGAAATTTTACAGTATATTAGCTTCGTAACATTCCTCGAAGTCGCTAATTGGATTTTTTCTGAAGTTTTACAATATAGTATATAAAAAAATGTGTAACATTGTACACGAAAATAATAAAAGTAAACTAAATAATGTGTAAAAATGTAAAAAAATAAAAAAATGTGTTATAAGTGAATGAATATTAAGCAATAAATTACATGTCAGATAAACGTAAAATAATTATAGGATTTAATGTATCTAAAAAAATACCAGCCAAGGCTTAGTTCAACAAAGTTGCATGATTAGCACGGTGGTTGAAGATCATTCCTTTTCAATGTCCAACAGTCGATCAACGTAATTCCTCCAAAGTGTGCAATTGATCGTTTTCCACCTAAACAATTAATTTTATAAGTGGTCCACTCCATAATAACAAAAAAAAAAAAGATTAAAGTTAAATAATAAAAGTTCTTACTCTAGACACCAAAATGGAGAGTACCAAAGCTTCTAAAATTAAATCGAAAATTTGAGAAGTCACCTTTGAACCTAACCAAGCTTGTCATACTGTGGATAACAATTTTATAATAAAACATAGTGAGTCGAAAGGAACCATAGTTGTTTTCCACTTGGTATTTGTTAAAC